TTATGAAAGAAGTATTGTTCAATAACCGTAAATAATGAATGATTATAAAGGTGAAATTAATGATAATGATAACAACAGTGATAATATAACTTAACAACAAGAATAATGATAATTGTGAAACAATAGTAATGAAAATAGTGATGATGATGACGATGAATAATTATTACCAATAATAAATTAATGTCAGTGATAATAATGATAATAATAGTAGTAGTAGTAGTAGTAGTAATGATGACATTAACAACATCATTAATAATAATGATAATAATAATAATGATAATAATAATAATAATAATGATAATAAAATTAGCAGTAGTAGCAGTAGTAGTATTTACAAAAATGATAATAATAATAATAATAATAATAAAAACAATAATAACCATAATAATGCTAAACCACAATAATAATAATAATAATGATAATGATAATAGTAATAATAACGATAATAAAGATAATAATAATAGTAATAATAACAATAATAATGATAATAGCAACAATAATAACATCAACAATACAATAAATACAATATTGATAATAACTATTCACAAGAAAAAATATGCGTTTTCTATGGTTGCGTCTAGAAAGCCTCACTAGATGGCGGACGCTGGATTGTTAAAAAAAAAAGGCAGAATTATAATGAACTTTCTTTTATTTCTCTCTTCCTTGTAGAAAAAAACGCATAAAACGCCAGCAGGACGATTGTTTGTTAGACAACAATCGAAGATGAAGTCAATCAGCGTTCTCTTCGTGGTGAGTTTATTTTTTGTTTTTATTTTTAATTTGGTATTTAAGTAATATGGAATGTTGGGAAAAGTCTGAATAATCTTTTATTCCTTTAATATATTTAGTTTGCTTGAAATGCATTTGAAATTGTAAGAAATAATTTCATTCTATTGTCTTTCATAAATTTCATATTTGTTGTACAAATGCTTTAACAGAAGATTTGCTCATGGTATTTCAACTATAATACTTGAACTAAACCTTCCTTGTACTTAACCTTAACTCTAAAGCGGTAGCAGAAACATTTTTAAAGTGGTTTATGTACCTTCTGTCTTGAAGGTAATTTACCTTCAAAGAACTACTTGCTTTTAGTGGCCGCGTTTGGCACTTTTATAACTAACGATCGCATTTCTTTCCAGGTGACCATGGTTGGCGCCATCGCCATGGCAGAAGAGTAAGTATTCTTAAGTTGGTTTATTGGGGGAAGATTGTGACATAGAAGGTTTAGTTTTCTCCCTCTGGGAGATTTTTTTTAATATAATTTTATTATGAATAATTTAGTCTTATTATATGGAGCATAATGTGTGCTTTGTTTTTAATATATTAAAAGACTTTTAGATATTTAAAATACTCAACATTATTAACTATTCAAATACCTCATCCTAACAAGGTATTCGCTGCTAATGACTTTAGATGTTGACGCGGCAGATAATTTTAAATAATCAATCTATCATAAGTTGGTTAGATAAAGTATTATAATTTGGTCTTTGATTCTTAATAAGCCTTCTAAGTCTTGTCTTGTCTCATCTCCCAAACAGAAGTGAACGGAGTGAACGCAGTGTTACAACAGACAATCATCCTTTCTCGCACCTGTGTGAATCGCAGCCTGATAAGTTTTTGTGCGCAAACTGCAAAACCATGGTTCAATGTGTGAAAGGGCAAGCCTTCACTCGTCACTGTATCGAGAATCATTACTGTTCGGAAAAGTCAGAATTTGGAGGGGCTGTCTGCTACCCGGATGAACCTGTAGCTTGCACATGTACAAAAGCTAATGACTTCCGCGTGGACCCCTATGATCCCCAGAGGTTCTTCTCGTGCAAGGACATTGGATCCCTACCGGAGAGCTACAAGTGCCCAGACGGCATGGCATTCGATGAAGCTTCGTCCCAGTGTCAGAACGTGGGTGGCCTACCTCCATGCACGGTTTCCGGCATCTTTGCTAACCCTAAGGACTGCAGCGAATACTACTCCTGCATTTCACTCCGGCACGGATGGCTGCAGAAGACTTTCCAATGTAGCACTAACCTGATGTACAACCAGAGAACTGGCACTTGTGAAGATCCTTGCTCTTACCAGTTCGTGTGCCAACAAGAAGGACGTTACCCTGACCTTCTCGACAAGCGTAATTACTTTGAGTGCTATATGCATGCAGGTGCCTTAACGCAAGTACGTTATCAGTGCCCTGAAGCATACATGTGGGAAATAATTTCCCCTGGCGTGGGCAAATGCGTGGAGGACCATGGACAGAGTAGCTCTGACAATGCCTTCGGCCAGTGCGTGATCCCGGCTAACTTGTGTCCAAGTAAGTAACTTCCATTTGTCCATGTACAAATGGAGGGGAGGGGGGGCAGATGGCTTGGCTACTAATTAAAACTAATCTCTTTTCAGCTTCCTAAAGAAAGATCCCCTGGTCCCAACTTACACACATCCGATAAGTGGACCAGGCCTGGACTTCGATTGTATCTCAAATTTTAAAAATAAATTATTTTTGGAGTTCTAATTGGATGTTTTCATAAATCCTAGGGGTGGTGCAGGAAAAGCTGCAATTAATGCATAAGCTTCACAATATTGCTTGCCTTGATATAATGCATGAATTGAATATTTGAATGTAAAAATGTCAAATCAGAGTTGCCTCGATGGTTGCTTAATCTAAATGTCTCTAACACTAGAGCCAAACTAGGCCTGAACATTTAAGTGTTGCTTGACTTCAAACTGATATCCAGCTTAACCCTCTAAAAATTTTTAAAAGTAACTTAATTATCCAGTCTTCATGCATAAGCCTCCTGCAGATGCAGTTTAAACTAAATTCTGGCACTTCCAGTCCCCCATACCCATTGGGTGGATGGAGGCATAGATAAAACCCAAGATTTTATCAATAACCCCTTGCTTATTGTAAGGAACTTAAAGCTAAGGACTATTAAAAAATATATAACCCCTGCCTTGTTGCCTTAAATCCTAGTCTTGTCCCCTTTTCCTTGGCATTTACTCTACCAGGCCTTGTACTACACGAAGGCTTCATGCTCCACTAGCCCTTTTGGTGGTGTCAAACTTCTATTAGTTGCTGCAAGACTTTATAACTACATCTTTATGCTGCAAACTTTTCAAAATCCTCATTGTTGCATAAATTTCTAAAGTACTAAGTCTCGTAACACCATTTAAAAATACCCCTTCTACCACCTTTACAATTTAATAGTCCCTGCCAGATGGTAAGTTTTCGTGGAGGGGGGGAGGGGGGGAAACCCTCACAGCTACTTACTGACGAACCTCTGCAAGTAAGGTCTCCAAGTACACAACTTCACTTTGCAGCCACCCCGATCGTTCGTCTCAATTACATCCGAAAATGATAAAATTCTCATGACCTTCACTGGTAAACTTGTTCATACTCTCATTACTTGTGGAGAGGTCTCCATATCCCCAACAAACTGGCCTGTCTGACAAATCGGTCAGATTGTGGTGCGACTTGCTTGCCTGCCTCATGGACTTTGATGTAGTATCAATATAATGCTATACCATTCCCCCGAGAGGTTCCCCCCCCAATCCCTTGCCCGTTGTTGTCGTGGGGGGGCTTAGGAGGCGGAGACTGGGACCCAATGATGGGGAACTCCCCAACCTTGGGACTCAGCCCTCGACTCAACTAATTATGCATGGTCTTTTTTTTCCCTTCCCACTTTTGTTTGTCCCTTCACCAAACCCTTCTGCTATCCACCTCCTAAGGTGTGAGAGCCGTGCTGAAAGGATGAAAGGCTGACTTTGTGCCAGTCCTGAACGGCCTGAGGGAGCCATGGGCACGGTATTCCCCTGATTTAGTTATCTAGCCCTTACCCCTCAAGGGGACCCTGAGGGGTGGACTGTTTTTATCCCCAACATAATCCAGGCTTCCCATGGCCAGTAATGAAAATCTATCTCCACTATTAGGGGCAATGAGGCTTGCCCCTTTATCAAATAGCCCCAACGAAGTAAACCCACCTGATTCCCCGACCCCAGGCTCTCCTTTGACCACGGCTCCGAACACTGCAATAACTACCCCTTCACCAATGCCTACTAGTACAGTAGCCAATAATCAACCTTCAAGGAACATTTCCACTCTCCCAGCATACCCAACTTCAACACCTCTACCCCCACAACCCCCAACATCAACCACCCCATCCTCCCTTATTAATACCTTACAGCCTTATAGCCCACCTCTCCATAACACTACCTCTATCAACACTACTCCATCTTCGTCACGCCCTCGCCCTTCTACCACCCCTATCTCTAAAACAATCTTGAATACTCTCTTCAGTGCAGCCAAATGGGACCGATTTTTCGTGATCCCTCCCACAGCTCCCTACTCTGACAACACCCTTCTCTTCCAACAATGCCTCCAAAAACAAGTAGGTAAAGTCTCTTTCCGTAGCCGACCCGACCGCTCCCGTCTTGTAACAGTAACATCCGAAAACCAAGCCATAGCACTAACAAAACTAACTGACCTATATGGTAACCCCATCCTAGCAGAACCCCATCCAACCCTTAATACTTGCACCGGAACAGTCTCAATCTCACCAGCAAATTGCCCAATCTATGACAAAGATTGGTCAGATTGTGGAGAAGATCTACTTGCCTGTCTCACAGACTACGATGCAACATCAGTACAATGCTACTCAATCCCCCCCAGAGGTCATCGAAAGAAACCCACTAACATAGCCAAAATTACCTTCCGCAGACATGACCTTCCCTTTAACGTCTACATAGGAGGAGAATCCCTCCCTGTTCGTCCATACCAACCTCCTCCACGTCAGTGCCAAAATTGTTGGCGTCTAGGACACCCAGCCAAACACTGCCGTTCCACAGCCAGATGCCCATTATGTGCCCAACCTGGCCATACCCGATCTAACTGCTCTGCACAATCACGCACATGTGCCAACTGTGGCGGCCCCCATAATGTATTTTATAGGGGCTGTCCCACCTACAAATTTGAATCTGAGGTAGCAACTCTCAAATTCAAACTTGGACTCACACTGCGTGAAGCCAGACAGGAAGCACGTCGACGTGGATTCTCTCTTACTCCTTACTCCAGTAATACTGCTCATTCTAACACTTCTCCTAAACCCACCCCTCCTACATCTAACCCCCCCACTTCTACCTCCTACCTTCCCCAGTCTAACTCTTTTGCCATCCTAAATCCAGAAACTCCAATCTCTAATACAGATACTCCAATCACCACTACAACCCCAACACCTTCCCCTCTCCCTCCTCGCACTCCCCGTAACAGACAGAACAAACGTTCCACCCCCTCTTCCCCTACCACACAATCACCTCCACCATCCTTTGCCCCTACTCTTGAAACACCAGTCCTCTCTTCCCCCCCCTCACAAGAAATCCTTTATCCCCCACAACTCCCCAACCAACTCCTCAGAAGAAACTATTGAAAATATTCAAGATTACTTAATGCAAACTAACACTCAACCTACAACCCCTGCTCCTTCCACACTCCAAGTAACTGCTGATATCCATCCCCCTCCTAACGATATCCCCCCTACACCCTATCCTCCTACCCCCTCCCAACACAGCCCATCCCCCCCGACCCCGACCCCAACCCAGCCCACATTAACCCTCCCACCATCCCCTCTATCCCTTCCACTCCCTCCTGGATACACACGTGAATCCCTTATGTCACAAGTATCCCCTTCCTCAGACCCTCCATCTCCTAATACCCCTCCTGATAGAACACCAACTCCCACATCTCTCCCATCTCAAACCTCTCAGTCCTTATCCCACCCTCTAGCTGATTCCCCCTCAAAGTCTCCAACACGTACTGCAATCTATATCACTAAATCAACGAAAGTATAACTATCCTTCATTGGAATATTCGCGGTTTCCGCTCCCACAGACCTGACCTTCGTCATATCCTTTCCTCTTATAACCCATCTATTGTATGCCTTCAAGAAACCTTTCTTACACATCCTCCAATACCAATCCCCAATTATCATTTTGTCTCTTCCCCACATTCCCTTTATGTCTCGTCTATACTTATCAATCAGAAAACACCTTATGTCACACCACCCTTTCAAACCAATGTCCCTTGTACAGTTATTCGTATCTTCCTTCATCGTTGGATCACAGTGATTTCAGTCTACTTCTCCCCTTCCCACCCCATTGACTTTGTTGCTTTTGAAAATCTAATTTCCCAACTTCAACCACCTTTCCTCATAGTAGGCGACTTTAACTGCCGCCACACTCTTTGGGGTGATTCTATTACCAACTCCCGAGGCCGATCTCTAGAGCGCTTCCTCTCCACAGCTGACCTTACTATTCTAAATTCAGATCGCCCCACACACTTTGATACACGCACGCAATCTTTTTCATGCATTGACCTCTCTCTATGCTCCCCTTCTCTTCATATAGATTTCCACTGGTCAGTCTTAGACCACTTTCCCTATAGTGACCACTTTCCAGTTCTCCTTTCTCCTACTTCATACGTACCACTTCCTAACTCCCCACGCTGGTGCTTTGAGAGAGCCGACTGGCATACTTTCACTTCACTCTCTGCTATTCATACCCCTCCATCCTCCCTCACCTCCATTTCAGAAATGATACAATGTTTCACAACTACAGTCTTAAGAGCTGCACATACAGCTATCACTCGAACCTCAAGACCATATACCTCTAAATGTGTTCCATGGTGGAATTCTGATTGCACTAAAGCACTTCGCTTAAAACGTGCAGCCTGGAACAGTTACCGCTACAAGAGAGGTACTCCAAATCAACTATCAGCCCTTATCTCCTTTAAAAGAGCATCTGCCTGTCTTCGTCGTACAATCCGGAATAGTAAAACAAATAGCTGGCGAGATTATGTTTCATCAATTACATCCTCTACATCTATCTCAAATGTATGGCGACGAATCCATAAACTATCAGGCAAACATCCCCCCCATCCTGCCCCCGTCCTCCATATTCGAGATACCCTCATTTCTGATCCTCTCCAAGTCGCTAATGAACTGGGTGATTATTTCAGCCAGGTCAGTAGTGGCTCTCACCTTTCTCCACACTTCTCTTCTATCAAGACCACCAGAGAACGTACCCCCATTACCTTCACCCCATCCTCCACTGAATCCTATAATGCCCCATTTTCTTCCTCTGAACTCATTACTGCCGCAACACTCATGAAGGCCCTGACGGTATTCACTACCGTATGCTCCGGCAACTCCCATCTTCCTCCTTATCCTTCCTATTAAAAATTTACAACCACATATGGACATCAGGAAATTTTCCTTCTAATTGGCGAGAAGCTCTTATCCTTCCCTTCCTGAAACCCAATAAATCGGGTACCCTCCCTCAAGACTATCGCCCCATCGCACTAACTAGCTGCTTGTGCAAACTATTAGAGCGAATGGTGAACTTCCGCTTAATGTGGTATCTTGAATCTCACAATCTTCTCTCTCCTTCCCAATTCGGTTTTCGCCGTGCCAGAAGCACAGCTGACCCCCTTGCTCATTTTGAGACATATATTACATCCGCATT